GTATACTAGACACCATGTACTTGTAGTATAATAGAAAGTATACTGATTTAATACTTGTTTGAACTAAACTGGAACTTTTTTAGTTTATAAAAAGTATACAGTACAATAAGTATACCAATAAGAGGTATACTATACGTACTTAAAATTTGATTTATAGCCTGAAGTCTGTAATTTTAACACAATATGGAACAGATTTTTATGAAGAGCAAATCTTTCCCACTAAATTGGTCATTTGACTAGGACATAAGATTGTCCAGGGACTCCAGGGATTAATCGTCAAATTAATCGTTGTCGGCTAAATACCACAATTAATCGTGATTWATTTTTTTGCCAATATTGCCCAACCCTAGTATATAAAAATGTATTTCCCTAAGTGAACTTTTATTTACTATGTACACTGATATAAGTATACTAGCAGTTTACTAACAAGTATACTTCTAAGATTAAATTGCCCACAATAAGTTTATGAAAATATACTCAGAAGTATAGCAAAAGAAATCAAAATATACCTTTATTTTAATCTGGAAATATACTACAAATAAACCAGTCTGTGTGAAAATGTACTTTTCAGTGTACTACTACCAAAAGTTTAAACATTTGTACAGACTAAGCATATGTCAACTTTTAAAATACTTTTAGTACAAGCCAAGTATAGTGTAAGATAGGTAGGGCTGCTACGATTAATTGATTAATTGACAACTAATCAATTATTAAAATAATCAATGACTAATTTGACAATCGATTAATCGTTTTCTTTATTTTATTTTATTTTTTTGTTCTTTGTTTTTCTCTCCAAACTACTTTGACAGCTTCCACTGCCACATCTGCCTTTCTGTCCTTGACACACATGCACAGTAGTGGTAACTGGGGTAGGCCGTGGACGTCACACGTACATAAAAGTATACTGGAATTATACTTTTTTTATTAGTATACTTAAGTGATACTTGCTTATACTGTTTTTTTTGCTAAGGGTGAGTTTGACACGTGGGCAACACTGAGGATATTTAGCTGTCACAACGTGAAATAGCATTAAAACTAATTTATGTTTGTTTTTGATCAAAGTCAATAGATGTAGAGGACTAAAAGACTAGAGGTGACCGTCAACCTTTAAAGAGCCTGTGACATGCATATTCTTCAAATACAAAAAGTCAAAGAAAACATCTTTATATTAAGAAAGTTGGAATAATAAACACGATTTAACCCATTTTGTCCCATAACAGGCATATTTTCTTTTGAACTTGGCTCAGCCAAAGAAAGAGGAAGTGACATCAAAGGGGAACTCTTTAAAAAACAAAACTCCCTGGTCTTTGTTTATTGAAACAATAATGACCCCCGTACGCGAAGCGTAAGCAGGAGTCATATTGTTTTCGTACTGTTTTTTTCAGTGATTTTTGGTTAACCGTAGCACAAAAACGGCTGCACCAATCAACATGAAATTTGGCAGGGCTGTAGATGAGTCCGACCTACACAGTGCCAGCCAACGGTTTTATGATAGACCCTATATTTGAGGAGGGGGCTTCTTTCAAAGAGTGGGTGTCAGGACATACAAAAATGGTTATGGCTCAAAAACTATTAAACATTGGAGCTTCAGATTTTCTTTGGTTGTTTAGCTCTGATGAGAGGCTATTTGTTAGAACAAAGTTGAGGTGGTGGTTATTTTCATCATTCAAAATACTTGGCAGTGAGAGCTTGGGTCAACTTC